CAGCCAGAGGGAAGGGTACCATGGGGTCGCACGCTGGGATGGATCGAGTCTGTGTCGAGGAACACGGGTGATTCCAGCAGTGGCTCATGGGTCCAGGTGACGGCTCTGGGGACCCATGGACTCTAATGGGAAATGTGTGCTCCTCCCCTGGCTTCCTCCTGGCCCTGCCCAGAGCTGCCAGGGCATCCCTGGCGATAACTGTCCCTCACTCTTGTGACTCTCTGCACTACCCTCAGCCTTTTGGGCACTCCCCTGCCTGTAGCGCACTCTGCACAGGCCCCTCCCCTCCCCACTCCACTCCTCCCCTCTCCTCTCCTCTCTTCTCCTTTCTTCTCCAGGCTCCACGTGCTGTTTTCAGTCTATACAAATCCATCCCGTGATCTTGATGGACAGTCTAAGATGTCTTCTCTTTGCTACCTTTGAAGTGTGTCTTTACACCTGTAATCACCCAGTGAAAGAGCATAGATTTATCCTCCATCTGCAGACACAGAAGCAGGGTCTCCAGACACCAGCACACGCAGACACACACGTGGTGCTTATGCCCAGGAAAGGCAGAGTTAGGACCCGAGCCACATGATTAGCCTCAGGAGCCACCTCTGGCTAGTTGGCCACTGTGCTTGCCATGAGGCCTGGGTCTACCTGCTGCTCCACCATCAAGAACACTGTGACAGTAAGCGTGTCCCCACACTGTGTCATCCCACACTGAGATATGGGAAAGACCCGCAAACAGAGCTCTGGGCGGTGCGTGTCCAGAGGATTGGGGGGGGAGCCTCTGAGTCCAAGGAAATGGTGATCCCAGTTGGACGTGGTGGCCCCATGGTCGGTGGATTGTAGGCCTCTGGTGGGGCAGGGGGGCAGGAGCCTGGGAGGAATCAGTGACAGATGACAGGCTCCTGGGAAGGTGTGACTAGCAGCCACTGAGCTGCATTCTCAAGCCAGTGTAGCTGGCTTCCTTGGCAAGGGCTCAGGGTGTCACCTGGGATGACGTTTACTGTAGGAGAGGCCAGCTCTGCGAGCAGTCGTCACTCTCCTGGTACTTTCTGTGTGGCCTATTGATTGGCTCAGCTGACATGAACAGATAAGCTCTAGATCCATGTGTCAGTGGGTGCACAATTAACAAAAAATCAACTTTTAACCTTGAAGAATAACAAACGCAAAACAGTAGCATCGGCCTCCGGGCTCAGAAACAGCTGTGCTCAGCAGTGATGGGACACCTGCCCTTTCCTTCCTCATGGAGGCACTTCAAGTGGATGGTGAGTCCCCAGTGAGGAGTGACAGAGCTGGCCCAGGGGACAAGGCCCCGAGGAGTCCTTTGCAAAGTGGCGAGGAGGTTAATAATCCAGCTGCAGACACCTTCCAGGTGGCGGGTCTGCCGCAGCTGTGCATGAGGTTTCTGATGAGTTTCCAAGTGAGCGGCCTCGATTCAGTGGGACGCTCTGACAAGAAGGAGACATCGATCTCCTGTGTTCACCTGTCCTTTAAATACATGTTAAGGACACAGCAAGCTGGTGGGGTGACTCTGTTGCTTACCAAGGAATCCTAAAATGTCCACGTGACTGCACTCTGGGTGCTTAGTCAAACTAGCAATTATTAATATAGAATATTGTAACTCAGATGAATTATTAATACAAGCTGTGTAATGCTTGGCTGCTTTGTTAATGGAAATTCAACTCTGCCAGTGGAAGTGGGTCACTTGCCTGAGCCTTGGGTCCTCCAGCCAGGGCCACCTAGGAAGGAGCTGAGCCAGGGGAGTTGAGAAACTGGATTTGGACCTGGAACAGCTGTAGGTGAGGGAGGGGGAAAGAGTGGAGAAGTCGAGCAGAAGGTCCAAAGAGAAGCAGAGCTGACTTGGGGTGATCATGATGCTGGGTATGGAAATACTCAGGGCTTCAGAGGGTCTGAAGCATCCTCGGGGACATCTGAATTACCAGGGTGATATCTGAATATCGTCAGGGAAAAGTAGGGTATTTTACACTCATTCTTCCATTAATTCAGTAAACCTTTTTGGAAAGTTTTCTATGGGTCATGTATTTTAAATATATTGTTAAGTCTCACAAACTCATGGCAAGTGGCTATCCTTTTATCTACTTCCAAGATGACAAAAGAGCACAGAGAGGCTGAGCAAGTCATCCCAAGTCACACAGCTAACAAATGTTAGAACCGGATGGTAAAGGCTGGGGAGTCCCACTCCTTTGGCTCTTCTCCAGGAGTTCACTCCAGCTTGCAGGGGAGATGCTGAGTAATATTTGTCCTGGGTTCCTTAAGAGCTGATGATGTTCTAAGGGATGGTTTGAAAAATATGGAATCCTGGGCATGTCAGAAAAAAATTTTTAAGCAAAACGTGGCTTCTTCTCTCTTAGTTCAGTACTCACACGGGTTACCTTCAGTAGTGTGGAAAACCCACCCACCTGGGTAGCAGGCAGGTGGAAGCCCTCAGTAAGTGTTTAGACACTCCTGGGTTCTTAAAATGCAGAAAGAGGCAAGTCGCCTGGCTTCAGCTGTTACTGAGCCCCACACTGGGCTCTTTGGCACAGCTCCAGGCTGACAGCTGACCTCCCTCAGTCGCTGGCTCTGGAGGCGGAAACGGTGACCAAGCGGTTCACTGCAGCCCTGCCTGGGGCTGCCTCGCCTCCTGTGCCTGGTCCAGTGCTTCCCTCTCCTGCGCTGGGCGGCCGGGCCCCAGGAGGTCCACCCCCCACAGGGCCGATGGTCCCTCGATAGCTCCCCGGGTTGCCTCTGCCAGCCGGCACCCGCAGGCACACTGGCCAAGCTTGGTCCCCCACGCGTGAGAAGCCTGGGCTCCCTCTGGCCACGTCTCCCCTCACCCACCTGCTTTCCCCCCGAGTCTCAGTGGTCCTCTCCCAACACCCAACAGCACACCAGCACTCCGACCCCCTCAGGACAGCCCAGAGCCCCTCTCAGTGGGCACTGAGGTCAGAGGGTGCCTGCTGCCCAACCCCACAGTGAGGATCAGATTCCTGAAATCAGGACCTTGTAGAACCTAATGAGTGTCCTGGAGTAAAAAATATCAAAATGGCCTTGGAAAAGAGCGGTACCACGAGAATCAGTGGAAGTTCAGTCCTGCCAAGTTCTAAACGATGGATCGACATTCCGTAGAGGCAGCTGATTTATTATAAACTGACAGCCATACTTAATAACGTTTCTAAGAGTCTAAAAAATTCATCTGGAGACAGTCCCATCATCCTGTCATCCAGCCTTGCCACCGGCTCTTTTCGAGAGTCTGGCCACCCGCAGACGTTTAGACCTTGAGCAGTGGACTCCCCTCCTGTGCCTCCTGCTTGACTCTCCTGAAGATAACCGCTCCACAGCCTCTCACGTCTAGGGCCGGTGTGTGTTCCTGGGACCCCTGCTGAGGATCAAGGCTGCAGCTGCTTGGGTGTGCCTCTGGGCTGTCCATCGGGGCCCATCGGTGTGTGCTGGGCGCCTCTGCCGATCTGACGATGGCTGGGGTTTGCAGTGTGTGAGAGGCAGGTGGTGTGGAGCCTCCATGTGGTTCTTCCTGCTGTGTGTGGCTTGGCTGCTCAGGGTTTTCTGTGGTCCTAGGCGGACACTTGGACTTCTGCTAGTTCTGTGTAGAATGCCGTTGGAAGGTGGGCAGGGATCTCACTGGACCTGCAGTGGGCTCTGTGGGCAGCGACCTCTGAACAAGGCTGACTCTTGCACCCATGGACCTGGGATGTATTTCCTCTTTCTGTCCTCCTCAGTTACTTCCATCAGTGTTTTCCATCTTCATTGTCGACGTCTGTCCCCTCACTGGTTGAATTCATTCCTGGGTGTGTGGGGAACTATGGTAGGTGGGATTGCTCTCTTGGATTTTCAGGAACTCTCCTGTTGGTGGAGAGGAACACTACTGACCCATGCCTGTCGGTTCTGTTTCCTGCAAGTTTGCTGAGCGCGTTGATCCGCCAGTTGCGGTGCCCTTTGTTTCTTCCTCTTGCCTGATTGCTCTCGCTGTGTGAGTCTGAGTTCTGGGCCTCAGAAACCTCCCGGCAGGATGTCCGCCTGGCTTCTGTGTGGGGCACTGTCACTGTCCTCTGGAGGAGCCTGGCTTCTGCACCCCCTTCGTTCAGCGTTTTCTGACCTTGTGAAATGGCATCCCCGGCTCTCTTGCCACGAGCTTGTGTGACTGGCATGGTTGAAGGTCCTTCCAGCTCTGGGCTGAACCTCACTTCATCGTGGTGAGGCTCCTGTGAAGGGTCCATCTTTTTCACTATGCGGGAAGGGCTGACAAGACGTCTTCCGCCAAGTGTCCGCAGGCGGCTGCGGTATGGTCTCCTGAGCTGCTCCCACACCTGTCTGTCTGTCCTCACTCTCACCAACAGCCATCATCACACTTTAAGATGCTCTTCGCTCTGAAAGGGAAAAAACATAGTCTCTTGGATGTGTTTCCTTGTTCAGTCTGTTATACTGAACAGTGTTTTCATGGAATCACTTTGTTTTTTTTATTTCCTAATGGAGAAGATTTAAACATCTTGCTTAGAAAGATCTGTCAGTTTCCCTAAGCAATTCTCTCATGCTTTCTTCTTGATTAATTTTTAAGTTATACCTTTCTAGAAAGTGTCGCATGTTATTCCAGTTGTAAAATTCATTTGAACATAGTTTTCAAATTATCAGGATTCCATTTTGATCTGTCTCTCTGGGACTCTTCCTGATAGTGCATGGAATTCTGTGGCCACGTTCCCTCAGCCTTTTTGGTTTAAATCAGCCAGCTTTGGTTGTTGTGAGCCCTCGGTCTGTGCCTGGAGCTGGGTCACAGAACTGCTCTATGCAGATCTCTCCAGAAGGATGCAGACTGGATGTAGGGGCTCAGCTGTGTGTGGGGACCCTGCCATTTCTCTCTTGGCCCAGGTTTTCCAACAAATGCTCCCCTGGAGAGAATAGCCTGTTCCTGAGAGAACCCCCTGAAACGTGAGGCTTGGGGAGTCACGCTGCAGCTGCGGTGGCTGATCCTGCTCTCCCTCCTGCTCTTGGTTTTCCAGGCCGGCATGATCAGGACCGAGGAGGCCGACTACTTCCTGACACCTCTCCCTCCACACCTGGCAGGGAGGCTGAAGGGCTCTGAGCAGGGTGGGCCTGCCTCCCACGTGCTGTACAAGAGAGCAGTGGAACCCCAGGCCCCGCAGGCACCCCCTGGCCTGCTGCTCACCAGGACCGGGGAGCCAGCCAGCCCAGGCCTGCAGGGCCTCAGTGACAACCTGGGGCTCTGGCACAGGCAGCACTTCTGTGGAAGACGCAAGAAATGTACGTAAGGCGCTTCTTCCCGTGAGGGTAAAGATTTGGTGTCTGTGTGAGCCAATGGAAAATGCTGATTTCCTTCAAGACACACCTACCTGCAAGATGTCGTCTGCAGCTGCCATCACGGCCCTGGAGCAGGGTTCTAGAGTTTGTTAGATGCCAACTCAGGGTTTCAGGGTGGAGCACCCCGCCCTGGGAGATGGAGACTTTTTTCTCTCTCTTTTTTTAAACAAACTGTTCCCTGGACAGAAAAGTGACACTCAGAAGCACAGGACCCACCAGACATCTTCAGAAGAACCCTGTCCCCTCTGCTCAGGGGTTCTGTATTTTGGAGGCTCGGGTTTGTTGAGGCCGACATTGCTTCCTGCTGAGGCAGTTTGTCTACGCGTGCATTCACAGGCCTCGCCACATCACACGGCACACCCACAGGGTGTCCCTCATCTGCAGCTCACCACCAGAGTTCCAGGGACTGCTCTGTCTGGCTTGGCTCCTTAAGGGGTGACCTGTTATTTACGTTTGGTCAGGAATGCACCTTCCTGGAACTCCCCTCATTCCTGGAGCTGTCCCGAGAGCACCCCCTGATTAGCCTCCCCGCTCCTGCCTCCCCTGTGGCTGGTGTGATGGCTGCTCTGCCAACCCCCCGAAGCAGAGGGGAGTCGGGGCAGGTGCTCAGCAGACCTTGGTGAACAGGAAGAAAGTCACTTGGCCCCACCAGCCGGATAGGCACTACTCCGGCCATCTGACCCTGTAAATAAAGCCCGTGGGACACATGCCTACCAACTAGAGATCCCAAACCTGAATGAACTAGGTCAGTGGGCTCAGTCTTCTGTCCCTGGACTTCCCTGGGGTGGTCCTGGTCTCCTGCCTCAGGGCAGTTCACACTCAGGAGAGCTCTTCCCTTTCGGGTTCAGAAAGGGAGTCTTGCTTTCCATGTCCCTCTGTCCCTCTGTGGAGATGGCAGACTCAGGTAGATGGATCTGCTCAAAGTCAACAGTGAGCCTGAGCCTGTTGGAGGGTGCACCTCCGGCTTCTCAGCCTCAGGCGTTGGCTGATGGCGGGTGCTTGGGTGACACTCCTGTTTAGGAGACAGTACTACGAGCACCTTGGTGAGGGTGAGAGGTTTACTCTGAGGGGCCTGTGGGGGCTCTGGCCTGCAGGACCCTCACCTGGTGCTTCTGCCCCGGCGTCCAGCGCCAGGGACCTCCGGCTGCCGTGCCCTGGGCTGCAGATGCTTTTGTTCCAAGCCCACATTTCCACAGTAGAAATAAGACCCAGGGCTCTGGGCCACGCCATCCAGACCCCAGGGCTTCTAGGAGGGGTTCCACGGGGGTCATCGTCACTCCCTCTGCCTGTGCAGTGCCATCCTAGGACCCCACGGGCCCCTGCAGAGACTGGAGGGGCCCCACAAAGACCAGCCCCAGGGTGGCACTTGTGCCCACCTGGGTTACGTCAGTGTGATGGCGAGCTCAGAAAACTGTGGTGATGTCACTACCCCGCTCCCCAGGTTCATCTGGGCTTAAGGGGACCGCTGCCTTATTTCTCCCCCGTGTTGCTTCACAGATGCACCCCAGCCCCCCACGGAGGACCTCTTCGTCCTTCCCGATGAGTACGAGTCTGTCCCCCGGTGCCGGCGCTCACTCCTCAAGTCCCACCGGAATAAAGAACTGAACGTGGAGACCTTGGTGGTGGTCGACAGGAAGATGATGCAGAGCCACGGGCAGGAGAACATCACCACCTACGTGCTGACCATCCTCAACATGGTAGGGTGGGCCGCCAGCACCAGCCTGTGCAGTGTCCAGCTGGGTGGGCGTCTCTGGGGAAGAAACGCTCAGCGGGTGGCGACCCTGCTTGAGTGTGATCCTGTTGAAAGAGCCGTTCTCTGCACTTCGGAGGGGGTCATAAAGAGGAGACGCGAGCAGACCCCTCTGCAAGCCCGTCTGCCCTGCAGGGTTTGGGGTTCAGTGGCTCTTCCTCTGCTAGGCCTCCCTAGGAGGGTCGAGGAGTTCAGTGCAGTGAGTATGTCAGCAGTATCTTTGCTTTTAAGTGAGAATGTAGAAGCACCCACTTTCCTAGGAGGGCTGATGTCCAGGTGTTGAGTGTGAGGTTTTTAATCTACTACAAAAGCTCTAAAGCAGGATGACCCGGCAGAACATCGTCTCACACAGTGTCCTCCTCTCTAACTTGCAGCTGCAGGGACTCTTCAGGAGCAAGGAGAGGGGTGCTGACCCCAGAGCACCAGAGTGAAATCTGGATCCCAGGCGGCAAAGTCTGGGATGTTTGAAAGTTTTCAAAAAAAGTTCAATGACACTATTTTGAAGGCATTTCTGGTTCTTCACCATCAGTAAGCAGCACCCGAGTGTCTCTGTGCACAGATCTGTGATGTTCATTGCTAGTGTCACATTGGGCGGTCGAGTCGTGTGGTTATGAAGTCAGGGACTGAGGGAAGGTTCAGAAGGTGGCCAGCAGGGCAGGGCTCTGGGCCCTCTTCACGGAGGGCCATAGCACCAGCCTGCTCCCAGTGAGGGTGCTGTCTGCGCCCCTGGTGTGGAGCTGTCCTCGTACCCCCGTGTCTTGGGGCCACACTGTCTCTGCTGTTGCCCGGGGACACTGCCCTGATCCTTCACGTCTGCTTCCTGTTCCGTTGTCTCTCGAGGTCGCTCTGTTCTGCCATGGCCTTCTCACCATGTTCCCTCTCTTTCTCCCGTCCTCTGCTCTCCTCCTCACCAGTTCTCTGTGCGCCTGGGCTTCCTCACCAGGAGAGCCTGGGGCCTGCTTGGCTCAGGTGGTCATCCCTGTGAGTAAAGCAGTGCCCCTGTTCTAAGGAGGACACTGCCCACCCAGGGCCTGGCCCTCCCTTCAGTGGGGTTGAACAGGAGGTGAACCCCCACCTCGCGCCTTCACCTCCAGGGGCACGTTGTGAGGACTGGCCAGTGGCCTTTTGATGGATCTCTGCCTGTCTGACCACATGAGAGCGTGGAAATCGCCTTCACCCGGGGGGACGCAGGCAGTGTCCGTGCAGTAGGGGACGTGTGGCTGCTCAGGGTCTGATGTGGCTTTGCTCTTCCAGGTGTCTGCTTTATTCAAGGATGGAACCATAGGGGGAAACATCAACATCGCAGTCGTAGGTCTCATCCTGCTAGAAGACGAACAGGTACGGTGCCTCGAAACCAGCAGCTT